TATATATATATATATATATTATCATTTGTCTTTTTTAAACAGTTTGTGACTCATTAAATTAAGGGGCATTTACATACACACCAATTAATCCTTATGTATTTACATAGCTATCAGTTTGATTTTACTTTACATATGCATTATTTTAACTTTTAAAAAGTGAAATACACTTTTTCATTCTTATGTTAGAAGACATAATATGAAAGTAAAAATTGAAGTGGGCTAAATATGTAAATACATAAGAATTGAGTGGCATGCATGCAAATGCTTCTAAATTTTTAATTCTTCAGCTTATTCGTGTCTATTATTATTGTTATTTATTATAATGCTCAAAGGTTTTTTAATTGATCTATGTTCCCCCTTAATCCCTCCACATACCACGTAACTTTTAATTAGTGTAATATAACTCATGCTACGTCTCCACGTATAAAATTTTAATTTCAACTCACCATACGTTATTATCTTCCCCTCACAATGCCTTTCCCAAGTGAGAAAGCCCGTCAGATCGATCTCCAAAGTCTACACGCAATTCCTTTCTTCCAATGTAACTAGCCAAGATATCTATATTCCCCTCACCTCACCTTTCAGCTCCACCACCTCGCCATTAACCACCGTCAGCCACACCCAACATGGCTCCTACCACCACCACCACCAACCGCCAAGAAGACGAGCACAACCAGCGGAGGCTCTAGCAAGACATCCGAAGCACCATATCCTCCTTCACTCGTCACCTCGCCGCCCTCGGCAAGTCAGCCGCGCCGCTGTCCCACACGCTCCCGTAATCACACTCACGGGAAGCAACAAAGGCGCGGAGATGAAGGTGGATGGAACGACAGTCAGACAAGTGGATGAGACTCCCGGAACGATGGTCGGGTTGTTTGGGGAAGCTGCACGGCCAAAGGCCTTCGGTTCATATCAGTATCAGCTTCTTGAATTTTGAGGAGGGAGAAGAAAGGCACGGCAAGAAGAAAGAGGATCAGAGCAATGTGTGGGCGATGAATTGAGCGAGTATGTTTGTGGAGTTGATTGTCATCCATCGGCTCTGATATATAATTTTACTGTGAGCAATTATTTTTTCTCAAAATCAAGTCAGAGTTTCAGCTACAAACCAACCATTATGATTCAATGCTGATCTCTAAATTAGCTTACAAGCATTGTTCTGCGGATGAATCCATATGTGTCGATGAGTATATTTAGGGTGTGTTCACTTAAGTGTATCATGAGTCCACTCTAATTTTTTCTCGTATAACTATCTTGGACGAGTTGGGTTTCCATGTTAATTTAATATATATATATATATATATATATATATA